GTAAATAAGTGTAATTCCAAAGTTCAATGTTGTTACAGAAGAAGGCGACAAGAGTAGAATTGTCCGTTGAACGTCACCCGGATATTGGAATTTATATTTCGAATACTCAGAGTCAAACGGATCGCGTAGGACAAAGAACATGGAGAAATTGCCATTTAAGCTGAGAACGAAAAGAGGAAACGTGATCATATTTGCGATAACGAAAAATAGAACGTATGCAGTTATTGAGAACACGATCCAGTTTGTTTGGAAGTTCTTGAGAGGCGTTGGTTTAGCAGATATCTGCGTAATCAATTATAGGCAACAATAATGTTTGTATTAGCATTTTTACCTGTCGGGAAAAAATCTCGAAACGATACAAATAACGCGCGGAACTTTATGTTAGATACGTAGTCAGACTAAGCGCGTTTTAGGCGAGCAGCGTACTAGTGAATTTCAGTCTTTAAACACTGTTTACGTAAATAGATTTTTTGTGTACACGTGTATGAATATTTTTGTTTATTATTTAGTATATTTAGTTATAGTTTGTCCATGTTTTAAAGTAAAGTAAAGTAAAGTTACAGCCTATATACGTCCCATTGCCGGGCACAGGCCTCCCCTCATTTCTGAGAGGGTTTTAGGGCAAGGAAGTGTCCGCCGTGCTGCCCCAATGCGTGTTGGCGAACTTCACATGTCTTCGAAATGTCCATGTTTTCATTATACGTGGAGTTAGAGCTTTTCCCACTCTTAAATTTAATAACTGTTATTTTAGAAACGGTAAAAATAACACGTTATATAAAGCAAAGCAGTGGTTAATTAAAAAAATAATCAAAAGGTATTATACACCTACTGAATTTTTCACTATAAGTTTATTGCAGTTTTCACTATAAATTTGTTGCAGGCCCTGGATAACCACGAAATATCGTCCGTGATGTAGGAAAGGCTAAAGATGCGAACCCATCCGGACATTCGCGCGCAGCGATAAAGTTTAATTTAACTTGTGTGTGTGTGTGTGTGATTTATCCAATTAATAATAATTATGTGTGTTATCGTCGTAGCTAAACGTCGGCATGTAATCAACATTAAAGAACAACACAGAAGTACAGAAGTTGCACTTCTTTGATGTTGACTACTAGTACTAGGTATTATTTATTCTGTGGCAGTGTTTGTAGTTTTTTTCTGAATTCAGAGACTTGCGGTCGCCGATTGAGTTTACTGTCTATAATTAGCCTAAGGTTTTTGACTGTAGTTGAGACGGGAACAGTAAAGTTTCTAGACTAAGCGAGGCATAAGTCAATTTTAGTTATACGACAGGTACTATCAACTATAATGGCCTGACACAGTGACACTTGTGGGATAAACTACACTACCAAATTTGTTCGACTAATCAGATACACGCTCAGGATAGTTATTGAGTTCCTCAATCACGAACGAATTGAGCATGAACGTAAATGTGTAAATCGTCAGCGTACAGATGAGACAAGCACCGCAATGCAATCAGAGACGTAATCAGATTTATCAAAACTTTCCACTCTCTTAGACTTATTCAAAATTTAGATTTGAGCGAACAGATTAACATGTATATAGCTTACTAAAATCATAACCTTCCTTTTGGATTTGCTGTTGTCGAGTAAATATGTAAGCCAACCTTAATTATCATCTGAATCGGTTGAAATTTATATAAGATCGCGCGCTGTAAAGATAGATAAATTAATCTTTACAGCGCGCGGTTAAAAAAAGTAAGCTAAATCAGTTAACTAACGTCGAAGATGAAATACAACCAAAAACAAAATACAGTCGAATTTATAACCCCCTTTTAAATTTGATAAAAATGGTATATTATTGAATTTTAAGAGTATCTACAATGGCGTGCCCTATCACTGCCAACAACTATCACTCTCCTGTACACTAAGAAATCGTTTGATTTATAACGTACTTTATATATGTTTAATATTAATAATATGTAATCATTTTTGGAAACGCGATAGTTATAAACATACAAATAATATTTGTACTTTAAAAAAAAGATTACTAAAACGGTCATGATAAAAAGCGGAAACTAAGCGAGAAATATGCATAACTAATATTAACATAATGTAACTCAATTACTTCTCTTTGCTCCATATCGTGACTTTCATTACCTTAATGCACAACTGGGCATATTTTCTTTAAAAATATTTTTTAAATTTATGAAACGAATGCGTCTTGACCTTTCGGTGATGTCACTTAGACTAAATGACAAAAATCGGAGATATATCCTATAGGACAAAAGTTACAGACGACAACTTTGTTGCTGATGTCCGGTCTATTACTACTACTTAAATGTCTTTCGTTAATATATTGATTCTAATAATTATCACTAAATCAATTAATGGTTAGCGCTCGCTATAAATAACACAGAACGCGAGTGACCCGGGTTCGATCCCCGCCGGCACCAATGAAATTGTTAATTGCAATGTTAAGTGCTGATTTACCACGTGCTCGGCGGTGAAGAAAAACATCGTGAGGAAACCTGCATGTCTGAGGAATAAGAAAAAAAGTGTTTCGAAGACATGTGAAGTTTGCCAACACGCATTAGGGCAGCGTGGCGGACACTTCCTTGCCCTAAAACCCTCTCAGAAATGAGGGGAGGCCTGTGCCCAGCAGTGGGACGTATATAGGCTGTAACTTTACTTTGTAACTTAACTAAATCAATTTATAGATTATTATAGAAGCTCTTCAATAGAGTGGAGCAGAAGTGGGGTGGTGTTGTTCTTCAAGAAAGGCGACAACGCTATCTTGACGAACTTCAGACCGATATCACTTCTGAGCCGCGTCTACATGCTGTTTACGAAAGTCATTACGAATAGTCTCGCACGCAGACTCGACGACTTTCAGCCTCCTGAACATACATATTTTTTGTCAAATTTTGTCAAATTGTACAAAGACCGAAGAGTACAGTTTGACACTTTGTCTTGCGTATGTGGGCTATGAAAAAGCCTTTGTTTCCTTCGAAATTTGGGCGGTGCTGCAGTCCCTTCAGCGGCACCAAGTTGACTGTCGGTTTATCGAAGTGTTGAAGTATTTGTATAGTAGGGCTACGATGGCTATCCGAGTACAGAATTAGAGTATTAACCCTATTCAAATGTAAAAAAGTGTAATTAGGGTGGCGTTATACGCCCGTAACTCTTCACCCCTGCATTGTATTGGAAGAGTTATCAAGCTACTGGATCGGAAAGGATACGGTATTAACATCAATGGCGAGTACATCACTCACCTTCCATTTGTCGACGATATAGTTCTTACGGCAGAATCGCTGGAGGACGTAAGCACAATGCTTAATGACTCTAATAGTGCATCCCAACGGATAGTTCTTAGGATGAACATGGACAAAACAAAGATCATGTGTAACGTCCATGTCACACATATGCCGGTAATTATTGGGAGCATTAAACTTTAAGTTGTTGGGAAGTATGTTTACCTGGGACAAATAGTCCGACTAAGAAAGTCCAACTTCGACCGAAAGGTCAATCGATGGTTTCAACTCGGCTGGGCAGCATTCTGAAGACTACCACAAATCTATATATCTATATAACTATAACTCAAATCCCGAAAACAAGATTGTACAACCAGTGCGAGTTGTCGGTGCTGTATGATCCTTCAATGCCGGCGGTATGAGAAAGCTCAGGACAGTTTAGGACAGGTGGCTCAGAACCGTGCTTTTGTGGCATTTTTGGGGGAGGCTTATGTTCAGCAGTGGACTGTAGAGAGCTGTAATGATGATGAATGATGATGTCCATCGGTTGACTGTTACGCGCTGATTCTAATGGGTACGAAGAAGAATAATATATCAAAATAACAAATATAGATAACAAATTAGCTCTGTATTCTGTTTGAATATTCAAATTTAATATATAAGTATATTATTTTGAGAGTACAAAATACTACTTACATATTTTATCTGCTAGTCGATTAAGCGTTGTTGTTAGTTGTTACTCAATGCGAATCGCGTACGTTACGTTACGTACGATTGCGCGCCGACGGGATAAAAGATTATGTAGTATACAATATCCGATTTTATCTTTCTGAAACGAAATCCTTACAAATAGTCACTGTACTGAGCAAGACGGAAGGAGGACTTTTTCGCAGCGAAAACGTGAATAGAAAATTCAACATTTCCAGTCTTCTCCCGTCTTCCTTGAAAGTTTGAAATTTTCATTTAAGCCTACGCATATTAAACTGCTGTTAGATATGCTATAAAATTTCAAAAACAATATCTGAAACTTTTTAGAAGCATAATTTGTAAATGTTATTATGTTAGGTATGTTAAAATATGTTCACAAGGGCGCGTATCTGCCATGTAGCATATTGATAACAGCCAGGAAGCTTAGGTTATATGTCAGCGCTTCGTAACAAGACTGCTCGTCGGGATTTTGCAAATGAAAAAATGTTATCGGAGTGTCGCTTTTTCTCGTGTGGTTGACATATTGATAGAATAAATATTTCCCACCCAATGAGATATGAGGCTAATCTAGATAATAAAAAAGCGATCTAAAATGTGTATGCACATGTTTAAACATAAATCTTCACTATTATTTTGTAGCAGAGAGTATTTATTTCCGTTACTGTTACAGCGTGTCAAAGTCAACTATTGAACATATGTCTCTCCCATGGAAATCCTCATAGCAGGGATGTTTGCCATAGTTGCCACGCTTGGTAGGCGTAATGGCAACCGAGTTTTTATTTTTTATTTGTTATTGTTATTATTAATACGCTGCTGCCCATCTCCTGGTTTGTTTACCTTTGCCAGTAACGACACCCATCGGACGATATGAGGTAGTGGATATCTGCCACTGCCACTACCCGGTAGTTAAGAATATTACATGCCAGATTTTTAAAGAAAATATTAATTAACGAAGGAAATTATGATTATTTAATAATTTTAGTTTAGATTTATGTAAACACATAAAGCTAAAATGGTAATGTGCATAATTGAATTAATGTGTTTAAAAAGCATTCAGTGGAATATAACTAAAACTTACCATGTCTCCGGTGAGAGTAAGGATCGCTGACATCTGCCTCTTTGTATATAACGGAGTGGACTCGCGTTCTCGTCCCATTGGGCGGGAAGTATCTGCGAGCGTGCTCCACGTAGAAGGTACCGTCGCTGGTGATCATCTTCCCCTCGAACACACCTTCCGTCACCGAGCCGAAAACCGTGGATTGTGTGTCATCTGAGAATAAAGAATGCGAGATGTAAAAGGTGGGACAAAAATGCCGAATGATGTTTATTTCTATCATTGATCTCAAACAGTAAAAAAAAATTAAACAATGGAAGGAAGCGACTTCTTGGAAACCGTCAATTTAGTGCTTTCAATTTAAAAAAAAATACACAATTGATTAGATAATGACATGGTTGGATTTTATTATAGAGTAATAGAGTTACTACTAGTTGACCTTGTAGACATTGTTTTGCCATTTCTGGTAGATGGCGCCAGTAAGAAACATACTCCTGCCTACTCCTTACTCCGAATTTTTTCCGTATATTTAGTGTCAATAAAAATGCGACCACAGCGCCACCTATAAGGTCCAGATTTTGTGATTTTCTTTTTCGGCAATAAAGTAACATATATTGTTAATATGAGTCAGTTTGGTCCATCGTACAGAATTTATTAATAACTTGATTTCAGCACCACCTATCACACGACCGACGATGAACCATGCATCGTCTTAACGAAACAATATATCGCGCGAACATGACTTTAATCGATCTTGTTCAGAAGTTACACGCTCACTCACTAACATACACACCAATATCACTAAGATATATTCTATGAATATCGCGTACAACTCTTTTTCTATGAATCCAGGGGCCTTATCAGATAAATTAGTGCGTATTTTTTGGAAACATTATCTACTGCAATTAATTGTACAAAGAGATAATATATGTGTGTGTGTGTACATATTTTTATTGTAAAAAAAATCTATGCAATTTTTATCTGATCATAAAGGCCATATACGTCACGCCATCTAATAAATCAAACAATCTCAGAGAAAGTAAAAACTATTTCAGGGGTACACAGTTGAAATATTTTTTATATATAAGAAGACTGTTAACAATATTAGTTGGTAGCTTAGTAGGTAAGTAATATATATTTTTCCTGCGTACAGAATAAAATCTAGTAAAACATCAAATTATTTTTCGGAGCCCACTTTACAATTAAAAACGGCAGTACTGCACCGCTGTCGTCAACCACACAATAGACATTCCACTCCCCGTTTCTAATTAATGATTTTTCCGTCCTTACGACCATTTGTTTTGGTTTGTTTATGGATTTTTCTTTTTGTTTGTTTACGATTATAACCGTTGTTAATAATTGGTTGAGGATTGAAGTGAATTTTAGAGATTATTAATAATAATCTGTACCGATTGAACATTAATAATAATAAAATATATAATATGTGGTAGCTAGTAGCTGCAGGACAATGAATGCGGTGTTACAGAGGCACTCACTACACTTAAGACCGATTTACACTTCGACAAGTACAGTAGACGCGACAGTAAACCTCGTTTGAAAAGCAATAAGCGAGTTAAGTAGCAAGTTAACGATTAAGTTGAACGGGATAGCCGGCCGAGCAATTTTTCGGCGAGTTAAGTGCGAAGTGCTGCCCTCCCGTGCGTCTCCCGCCACCCGCAACTAAACTCGCTGTTCGTGTAAACGAGCGAGTCTAGTTCATTGCATAAGTTGACAGGACGCAACGTTTGCGCGCCAAAACGTACAATTGTACTTTTATAATTAAACTCGTATTTTATATGATATGATACTGTTTATTGAATATTTATACGTTTTATATTGAGTTTTAATAATAAAATTGACGGAAGATATCACGGATAAATTTGTACAGGAGTATTTAGAACACGAATGTTTATATAATATTGTTAGTATTATATAGTATATAGTAGTAGTTATATAATATAGTAAGTTTACATTTCAAATTGTAAAATTAAACCTGCTCGAGATGCTGCACTCATGAAAATTTTAAAAACTTTTTTAATAACAACCATTAATACTTCCCTGACTGGATCATTTAATTTTTGACGTAATCCTAGAACCATCTTAAATGAAAACCAGAAAAATTCTGTAGTCTTGAAACGTCATACTCCAACGAACTCTATGAACTAATGTCCTTAACTAAACTCGCCACGAAGACTGTTTGAACGCTACTGCCCACTTAACAACAAACCTGTAACAAAACTCGCTACTGTACTTGTCGAAGTGTAAATCGTTCTTTACTGATATTTTATGATAGTATTTTGTGCGAACTCCTGTAATCGTTATGCTTGACCGGCGCATTTAAAGTTAAATTCAAAAATTTTTATTCAATTGCGCTTGTTAATGCTCCTATGAATGTCAAAATCTACTCCGCCAGTCGCAACACCAGACGCTTTTACACGATTAACGCTATTTTCGGAAGTGTCTTTTTGGAAATGGCATTTACGAGGTTGTACCACCATATACGTAAATGTATACGATGCTACAAGATCGGGGCAAGTAGCTAAGATGACATGGGGTAATGGATTTTCTTAAAGGTGACATGAAAATATAAACTTTGAATTACAAAAAGATGTTCTTGTAAAAATCGTCAAGTAATCATTGTGTAGTGGCGGCGTAAGATAATAGAATTACCATATCATCCCGTGGATGTCGCAGTACAAATTAAATTAATAAAAAACTGCTATTGCCAACCCACCTGCAAAGCACTATGGTGAACAATGTCTTTCGGTATGAATTTCGATAAAGGAGGCCAGTCTCAATGGAGACTAGCCATCTGAGCAGGACAACATTATAGCACAGGAGTGAGTGCACAAAACACAGGTGCACTGCTTATTCCTTAACTCTCATAGACGGACGGGACGGCATTTGAACATAACTGGAGAGGGATCAGGCGCAGTAAGAACGGCTTTACGTGCTTTCTGAGGCACGGCGGAAGAAACAATGTCAATGTCAACTACCTAACTTCGAACTGATACTGAGTATGTCTTGACAGAAAACGCGAATGACTTATTTTTGATTCAACCCGGTATTCAAAACCGAGACCACTGGATCAGCAGTCGCGTTTACGACCACTAGACCAAGGAAGCAAATACTCGTAAGTATGTAACTATGGGGCAAGCATTCTGTTAAGCAGTGAACTTTCGGTAGGCGGTAATGAATGAATGATGAATTTTTTTTTATAAGATAGGGTAACAAACGAGGCCCATAGACATCTACATCTATCCTCGATTACAAATCAAAATGCAGATGCATTGTCACCCGTGAGGACTAAGATGGAATACCTCGTTTCCAGTAAAAAGGATCTCCGGTTCTCTACACTCACCATACGAAACACAGCAGCATTAATCTACTATTCTACTAATATAACTGCAGCATGGCTCTATCACGTATAACGCGCGAATAAAATACCACGAATGTTCTGATAATTTAATTTAACTTTGTATAAGAACAATTCTAAAATGGTAGATGGTGACCATAGAGAGTGGTTATATAGGTTTTTGATGGTGACCCTCGGTCCAGTCGTTGGCTTTTACGAGCTTCGTCAAAAGTTAAATATTTTATGACATTATGTTGTACAATTAAGAAAAATATATCATGTACATATATTACGAGTAATACTATTTACTAATTTTGCATGTTGTTTCTCGTTTTTATGCTTAAAACTAAGCTTTGGTAAAGTTTTATACCGCATAAATATAAGACAAGCTGTTCTACTTTCAAACACCAATATCAGAACAAAATTTAACTTCTAAGGAGAAATATTTTCGCAGTAATATAAACGCAACTCTACCTCCATAAATAAGCAACAAGTTTATATATTACTATTTGTTATATAAACACGTGCGTTATCTTTAAACTAACGGACCTCTATTTACACGCTTTGTTTCGTTAGATAATATATAATCAAAGCATATTGCATACACCTAAAATGTTGTTGGGTTTTTCATGCATTTAATGATATAATATATATACAGGATTACTGGTAACTCGACGTATTCCCGCCAAGGCGTGATAGTTGGGGTCATAACCTATCATATGAACCATAAAATGCATTATGCAAATGTGGACCAATTTCGAAATATTTAGTTTAATTATTTTTTTTTTCAAAAATCCCAAAAGTCTGGTGTCAAAAATTTCAAAAAAAAAACTTACAGCTGTATTATTTTCATTTTATTATTTTTACTTAATAAAAACCTGGATACTTATTTATCAATACTACAGTGTGCAAAAAGTCTCATCATTTTCGAAGTAACGCTACTAAAAGTACAACTTTTTCCAAACAGAAGATAAGTAATGATTTCTTATATTTACGCGAACACTACACATTGAAATAATACTAGTTTTTACGGAATTTATCGCGTGTATTTAACTTTTTAATTACCCGACGTTTCGAACGCTTTACAGCACTCATGGTCACGGGCAGGACTGAGATGTTCAACGTCCATATGTCATAGTTAACCGCGGTTACCATAGATTAAAATTTTTAAAATTTAACTTTTGTTCCGATCTATGCAGTATGAACTTATGGTATCTTGAAGTCTTGCAGTTGTATGCTTGGGTTGGGATTTAATTTTATTTATTATAGGATCCCAAGCAGATGGTAGCACCCAGCCATCTTCTCTATTGAAATTAGGATGTTTTTTGATTTCAATAGCCTCGCGAATCATCCTTGGAAGGAATCGGTGTTCTTTAGCGAGGATCTGCGGTCTATCAAATCTGATGTAGTGACGGGGGCGATCCTGTACGTGTTCACAGACGCTCCGGGAAGTCTGCAGTCTACTACGTCGAGTTACCAGTAACCCTGTATATATATATATATATATATGTGTGTAAATATACAATTTATGAAATAAAATGTAAACCCTAACCTGTGTGTGTGATTAGCTTTCGAAAAGTACAAGTAGCCGCCTAACTTTTCGATATAGTGTATCACTACACTGAAGGTTTTAATAAGTATGAGTAACTATAACACGTTACTGATAGTATGTAATACGTTATTTATAATTAACATTTGAAAAAATTAAAACATATAAGTAGGTATTGGTTTATGCATAACATAAGAAAAAGGAACTTTTATTCTTCTATGCGCATTTTACATTATTGTGAAATGAATATAAGCTGCATAAAAACAACTTTAAAATTTGCCTGATTCATGGTCAAGTTAATATATCAAATAT